AGAGTCGATCAGGTTAGAGATTTGGGTATTGCTCTCGATTCTGAAATGAGATTCACAAACCATATTAATAACATGGTTAACAAATGTTTCAGAATGTTAGCGTTTGTCTTCAGAAATTCTAAAGAATTAAAATCTGATTAGGCAATGAAAGTTTTGTTCTTCGCCTTAGTGCGTAGCCATGTGGATTATTTTAGTGCTGTTTGGTATCCATTTTATCAGAATAATGTTCAGCGTATCGAAAAGATCCAAAAAAAAGTTTGTGAACAGAATCTCTTTTATCAATGGTAGTTACCGTAGCGTTAACAGTTATTCTGAAAGGTTAAATCAATTATAATGCTTTCATTAAGGCAACGTAAGGAACAACTATCTATGATCTTTTTGTATAACTTATTAAACCATGTAGTGGATTGTCCGTCTCTGTATCACAAATTAATATATTAGTTCCTAGAGTTACTGCTCGTCTGCATAATTATAAACCATTCTCAATGTCCTTAAGAAGAAGGAAATATTATGGTAGTTCCTCTTCTATTTGTACACTGGTAAAATTATAACTTTTTGTTTCAAAATTGTAATTTAAACAAAAGATATCTTTGTGAAAAAATTGCTACTTTTAAAAAATCGATTTTGGATTGTTGCAAGACCCATTTTTAGTTTTTAGTTTTTATTTTTGGTTTCTAATTCTTTCATATTATTTCTGTACTAAAAAAAATATTAATATGTATTATGTAAAACAACGTCTTTTATCATTAAAAAATGCTGTGCATACCTTTAATTTAAATGCATATGTATAATGTGTTTTTCAAAAATCGTGATATTATAAGTTCCTTTGTGTATTTAGTTGGTAAGCCTTATTAAAAAATAAAATAAAATAAAACCCAATCTGTAAATTTTGTAAAGTTGAAGATACACTCACCGTGTAACAATGTCATGTCAATAAATCGCTACAATATTCTGAATGTCCTAGGTAAAGGTAACTACTTTAAAGTTATCATTCCGCTGAAAAGTCGTAAAAATATTGATTCGATAACTTTGGGCTTAGAACAAACGTTGACTTCCGGTATCAACCATAAAGGTTGTGTTAAGTTCTGGTACACTACAATTTAGTTTTATTCGCTCTGGTATATAGAGGCCCTTATGCAAAAATTTCTTACTTGTTCATTCTCATTAGAAGTACTTGCAAACACATTATTTTTACTATCATTATAATCAGTGCGATTTACACGTCTTGAACTACAACGCAACCTTTCTTTCGAGTTCCGGGGTTGTTTCTGGTCGTAAACTTCTTGGAAATATTGTTCCTCTAAAACAGCTTTTAATTCATCTTCCAGTGTCAAAACATTTTTTAGTCGCACCAACCTAACTAGATATTTTGGCAAGTTAAATAAGAAAACATTCAATGAAAGATTTTTGTATAGATATTTTGCTTAGATAACCTCGCAGCTGCATCTTCTCAAAAATAATATTTTAAGTATGAGTTACACCAGAAAACTAAAACATGCTTGTTTCGTACACTCATTAAATAATTCGCAATTTCCTCATTATTTCTTTGAAAAACTATCAACAAAATGTCTTCTAACATGCTTGAGACCAGAAAGAAGGGGTAAACTATTAGGGCCTGCGCTCACTGACGGCACGCCATTTCAACACGATTAGACCGAAACGTCTCGCGTGATACCGTGGCATGCTGCTATACGTCACGGCATTCCACGGGATTACGCGGCACGTCACGGCATTCCACAGAGACGCATTGGTTTATTTGGTATTGTTAAAGGAATGTGAATGCTAAGTAATTGAACAAGGTTAAACTTTTAAACAGCACAGTGCTAAACTGAGTTAGCGCCCGAACGCGGCTGCATTCGTGACTAAATTCCGATATATACCGCGTAATAGCGATTTCAGATATTTGATTTCTTTTTTTTTATTCAATGTTGTTATTATGATGAGGCCCTTCCCGCTTAGGGATCAATAACTTAAAAGAAAGTGAATATTAAAAGAATATTAAAATCTATTTCCAATTATACTTTTGCATCTCATCCACTAATTATAACATGTCAAAAGTGATCTATTTAGGTATTTTGTTAATTCATTGTATGAGAAAGCTAAGAAAGAAAATTTAAGTTCATACACAATCCGATGTAATTTTTAGCAAGTATTATATTATATTTACGAAAATTTTGTAATAAAGTATTAATCTATATATAAATTATGTAAAAATCTTATATTTTTTAGTACTCGGAATTAGGAAACGAGATTTTTTGGTATGAAGCGCTATTCCGTATGGATAGTAGTAGTAGGTCGGGATAAGGTTCTATGAGCACCTTATTCCGCGGCATATACACACGCAAAATACAGAGTACAAATTCACAATTTTTCGCAGCTTGCTATGCGCTTTCCTTTAGTTTCAATAACGCGTAGGTTCCTATTTCCTTTATAATTACTTTTCACACTTAGGTAGGGGTTATAAACATTTATGGATAATAATTCTCAACTAAATTATTTTTATAATATCATTTTTTTACGTGGCATGCTGCAGCTTTATTATGGTTGTAGCACAAATGGCTTTAAATAGCAGCTTAATGCTGCTGTGTTTCGTATGATGGGTGTAGAGAACCGGGTACCCTTTTACTGGATACGAGTCATTCCATCTTGGTCCTCAGGGGTGATAACGCATCTTTATTTTTATCTTTAATCGTGGGTAGATGTAGATGTTTATGGGCTACTGCATCAAGTGGGCTGTGTGCTCGCTTGTCACCCTTATTATAAAAAACACAATATCTTGCTTTATAGGAACCACATATTGTTATTATATACTACTTGTAGGTGCAACATTGTAACGCATTTTGCCGATATGACGGTTTTGTATGTCACCCACACCGATCGCCCATAGTCCTTAAACTCCTAACTGAAATAATAATTCTAGCATAAGGACAATTTTGAAAAGGAATAGACTTTGTTGTTTGACCAGACTCTAAGTTTCATTCCACTCCAAATTATTAACCCTCCCCACCGTAACTCAGTGAAACACGTAGTGAACGGTCAGACCGGATTCCGTTCATACACAGAACTTTATTATACATTACCAGTGTTTTTACACTACTATTGTAATAATACCATGGGTATTAGAATTAATAAAATTGATTGGCCATATATATATTAGGTAGTAATAGGATTAGTTTATAAGTTTTAAATGTTTATATTGATTATGAGGATGGATGCTTATTACGCAATCGAACCATCTATGCCCAAAAATTTTTACATACCTCCGTAATAGTGAAAGGTTAATTCTTTTCTAAAATTTGCTCTCACTGTAGGTTTGTTAAGGAAAAATCAAGACTGATCAACAACACATTGTAAATTAATTAATTGCATTATCTAATACATAAAACATATTTTTGTTTGTTCGTATTTTATGCGCTGCTATATCGTTCATCAGACGCAAAGGTACAATTAACTTACACCAGGTGGCGCGCATGTCGTACCAGCTGAATGTTATATATCCTTCAACTTCAATTGATGTATTTATCATTCCTAATTAAACTATATTATAATTTTTCCAAATTCAAAACAATATTTCCACAATTATTTCTTTTGCGACAGCAATGCGCTGGGTACTAGTTAGTTGAAAATAAAATAAACTTGTCAGGTCTATATCCACGGGGATTATTATTCATATTTTTTAAATTATAATAATTTTGGCTGAAGGATAATGAACAACATGTATTAGTTTTTTAACCTTTTTCCTTTGCATTTTGTACACTCTGAATTAGGAACCAAATACATCGGGATAGAGAATTTTACATCTGAATAAACTTTTCCTCATATTTAAATAATTTGGAATACAAATTAAGATCTAATAGCCAAACATTTTGTCTATTTCAAGAGTAGACACAAAAATGATTCTGATAAAAATTGTCAAACATTCAAAAGTGTACAATAAATGCTTAATTTTCTATACGCATTCGAATTTTAGTAAAAAAAAAACCGCGAAATTAGGTGCCTAGGCCCGGGTATCCGGGGTATAACACTGTTCCTTTTACTGGCCAGGGCTCCCTAGTGGCAGTGCCATCCATTTGAACGCATCCAATGGAGAGCGGTTCGAATCGTCGGCGACCAAGCTCTTTCTAATCGGCTTGACTTGACGCTGCTTATAGATGTTGCATCTCTTTACGTATTTTATCGCATCTTCACCTGCGATTACCCTTTTGTTTGAAAAATTTGCGAACCCCATCGAAGGCCTTCGCCCTTCGATATGTTCAACAAACTTGAGCGTCTTTCGTATTTATCAGACCTTGGACCTAGTGATTTCTGTTTTATTCCGAAATTGGAGGAGCACCTGAGACGACAGAAGTTTGAAGATGATGTAGCTGCATTGCAGGAAGGAGGAAGTGAATTTTAAGATTAGAAAAAGTCAGTAAGTCAGTCAAGTATTATAATAAAAGATGACTTGCCAAAAACTAAAATAACTATAATAAAAGTTACCTACAACATATTGATTCTCACCTTCGTAGTACTTCTAACCCAGACATCTTTTATTAACTAAAACGGCCAATCTTGAAAAATTAAAAACACTTTATTGTACAAAATTAAAGTCCCGTTAGATAGAGTTACGTACTTACATAAACACTACGATTCTCCAAAGTAAAATGTTTCGGATATAACTATCGGCTGCAGCTTTTGAAGGTCATGAAGTTTGCGGCTAGCAATGAGCCGTGAGCTATTCACTGACTAGTTTATTTATTGCTATTTAGTTATCTTACAAACTTTTCCACGTACAAAAGCTGTGACCGAAATATATAAAAAAAGTAAAACTAAATTTTGAACAAGACTGATTGATAACCAGGTTTAGTTACAATTATTGGTTTGTTAAAATTATTTAATGAAACAACACATCGATGTTTCGAATTAATATACTCGTATATATTTAATATAACTTGTAGATGCCAATCCCTAAAAAATCATGTTAGATATTAAACTTTATATTCATGTTTACTTTTTTCTTCTTATTTTATGTCTTTCCAAAGCGTTAAATTAACAAATGGCAACAGATCACATGGGACAATGGGATTCCTGTAAAAACCACAAACTTATTTAATACAATAATAAACTAGATTTTTATTTATTTTAAGGTATTTTTCAATTCATTGTCAGGATTTGTAAATTCACTTTGTCCTAAAACAACTCAATGATTAAGGCCATTTTGTATAGCCTACAGACAATGAAAAGTAAACATACTAGAACAAAACTATTTTAAAAGGGACAATCCAAATGTCATAAACAGTTTATATGATATTATTTAATTTTTATGTGTATATGGATTTGTACTAGAACGATAACTCGCCCACATTTGTCTTACCATGGAGACACCAATTCGAAGGCTTTTGGTTGCATCTTCTTTATGTTAATGCCATTATCACAGAATAAGCGCGCCATTGAAGATCCTTTGCGAATCGTTTCTAGTTGTTCTGAAAACATTTTGTATATACTTTTTAATTTAGTTTATCTTTTAAACATGTCTAAGAACCGTGTTAACTCAAATTTGAAACGGGGATGTTAGGCTTTATTTTCTTTTGTATGCATTATCTTATATTACTTAATTCTTTTTATTATTAAATCGTGAAATAAAGTAAAATTAAAGTATTATATGTACGTTCAACAAAGTCTTCTCTCTCATTTCTAAGAGGGTTAGGCCTAGAAACCACAAAAGCGGGCATGGGCGGCGAGCAGAGCAGAAGAGAGACCAGGGTACCGTAGCTGATGTGTGTTGCCTAGTGGTGGTGAGTGTGATGATCGGCGATCTCACGTATACTCCCATTTTTCACACACTCTCGATCTCCAGCCTGCTCCGCTTGCGTGACTTGGGTTACATATCTGTTTTGATCGAGCTATTTTTAATATAAGACATGCCCGCTCTTCTGCGTTTGAATTTATTTTGAAAATCGTCTTATGATTGGGAGTCCCGCCGTACACCGCCTTGCACACATTACTGGCACGTCTCTCTCACTCGCGTCATTCCGACATATCTCTCGCTTGTTTTGTATAAATACAGACCTAGCTTCGCTAAGCCCTTTTTCAATACACACTTTAATTACCGTTACGAGGCTGCCACTCGAGAAACTTTCTTTACCATCGGTTGTCGGTTCTTCGAGCTATAGCCACTTCAGCTTACTAATCCGTTGGGCTATGTCAAATACTCTGGTTCTACTGCGGATATCCTCATTTCTAAGTTTATCACGCAGAAAACCCCGACAGCTTTGCATAGCTCGCTGAGCGAATTTGAGCTTCCTTATATGGCTTGCAGTGAATGACCACGTCTCAGATCCATACGTCATGAGAAGAATATGTAAAAGCGTAATCTCCTAAACGCTGCACAGTCGAGTGAATCTGTTGATTGACATCTTGGTCGAAGTTTTACTTACCTAGTCGGATTATTTGTCCTAAGTTAACATACTTGTCAACAACTTCGAGCTTAGTGCTTCCAACAACTACCTTCACAGGTATGACTTAGGTATTATCTCAACACCTGTCCCTTGGGAGGCACTATTGCGGTCATAGAGCATAGTACTTAAATTCTCCTGTCAATAGATGAGTGATGTACTCGCCATTAATGTTAATACCGTATCCTTTCCGGTCCAGTAGCTTATAAACGTCTTCCAATGCAGCGGTGAAGAAATTCGGGGATATAACGTCACCCTGTCTGTGCAGTTAGGTTTCGTACTCTGGTTCTGTACACGATTATCCATCGTAGACCTACTGTACAAACACTTCAGCACGTCAATATACCGATATTTAACTTAGGAGCGCTAAAGGGAATGCAGCACCACCCACATTTCAACGGAATCAAAGGCTTTCTCATAGTTTAAATACGCAATACATAGTGCCAGATTGTACTCCTCGATCTTCTGTATAATTTGTCTACGGGTTTATATGTGGTCTATGGTGCTAAAGCATTTTCGGAAACTGGCTTGTTTAGGAGGCTGGAAGACGTCGAGTCTCCATGAGAGACGATTCGTAATGAATCTCGAAAATAGAACGACAACACGGCTCATAATGGAAATATATCTGTAGTTCTTCAAGTTATCGCCTTTCTTGAAGAATAAGACCACCGCAATTCTGCTCCACGCCTGCCACCTTGGAGAACGGAATTAACGAGCTACTCAAGGATGTCAAGTACTGGTTTCCACACGATTTCAGAAGTTCCGCTATAATTTAGTCCTTGCCTGGGGCTTTGCCGTTTTTAAGGAGCTGGAGAGCCATTTTTATCTTGCTCAGACTACGACTACTACTTGTCTGAGATATTATCGGAATAGTATCGGATAAGACGATGAAGAACATGAAGCTGTTAGTCCGTTAGACAGGTTTCCGTGCAATTTTTTCTTTCGTGGCGGTGAAGGAAAACGTCTTGTAAGTGTCGTTTACGATAAGCACTCATTGAGAAGCAGAGATAGCATAGAGTTAGAACCAATGCTCCCGCCCTGTAAAATAGTACGGTCAAACATTGCTTACCAAGAGTAAAAGCGATTTCCTTGTCCTCTCCATTTTCAAAAAAATATCGGTCACCAACGCGCGTGATGTAGAACTGTCGAAGTAAGATGCAGAGAAAAGTGGGCCCAACTAAAGTACCAGGCACATGTTTCTCCAATGATCCTCCTACGGTAAGTTCAATGTCTTCTACTCTTTTATATATGGATTTAAGTGCTTTTACGTTCTGAAGATTTATTAACAAAAATACATTAACGTTAAGAACTATGTTAGTGTTGTAAAAAAATATTAATAATTAATATGTATTCTTATAACACGAATATTACCTAAAATATGATCGTAACCAATAAAAATGATTTGGATTTTAGATTTTGAATTAAATAAATAGGGTTACCTTTATTGACATGTAGTCACACATATCGTTGAAGGTCTTTGGGATTGAAAGACCGCAATAAGATCGAAGATCAATGTAGTTGCCTACATCATGATCTCGAGCACGTTGAATATCAATAGCCCTCAAATCCTTACCGAGAGTTTGGTTTCCCCTGGAGATATAAAGGTAAAGGTTTAAGCAAACTGAAGTAAAATATTCCATTTTATTATTACTTTATTAGGAAGGTTGTGATAATTAAATAGGTAACGTGTATGTGGTCAAGTTGAAAACCTTTGTTTAAAATATTTTAATGTAACACATATTAGAGTTTACGAATTGCTAGTCTGAAACTAAATCCTAGTTTTTTTTTAATTTTGTCGTATTTCGCATCGTTCCACGGAGCACCGAAAAATTAGGAATAGCCGTCGCAGGCCGCCTTTTCCGCTTAAGTATCCTTCCAGGTAGGAACCACCTTCTTATCTATTTTCGGCGCCAAATACCTGCACTGTTGTATTCCGCTCTGAAGGCTACAGTGAGCCAGTATACAGGCTGTGAGGCATTCCATCATAATCCTCAGAGTGACTACACATCTGTAGCCTTTCTTTATAGTTTCTTTGTAGTTGGCTGCAAGAGTTCAAGGTCTGCAGTAAACACTTACCTAAAGATGGGCTGTAATTTATCTTTTTACTTCAGTTTTATAAAAAAGCATGCATCTGTTTTATGACGTACGAACTTATACATTTACGACAATATCTCCTGCACAGTCACACTCCTACACATTTTTTTTTAAAACTCGAACATTATTTTTTTTATTTTATTTAAAAAAAAAATTGTATGCTAATCGTATATGGTTTTATTACCTCTGCATTGTCTGGGGAGTACGAGGATTGTCAAAGACCCCGCTTTACTTAGCTTTAGTATCGGCTAGTGTCAGTAAGAGGTAATAAAACTACATAAAAAAAATTAATAAAATTTAAAAAACATTTGGTTGTTTTTTTAAAAAAAAGTTATTTCTATAGGTTTGAATACTGATCCTGATAACGTACTTAACGGGAACCACAGGGTTTTTGTTACATGTTGTATATATCCTCAATTAACAATGCAGATACGTTATCACCCCTGAGGACTATGATAAAATGCCTCGTTAACAGTAAAAAGGGTCTCCGGTTCTTTACACTCACCATACGAGACACGGCAGCATTATTCTGCTGTTTCATGCTGGTATTCTGTACGAGCGTGTTCCTACCCCAGTCGAGCCGACCTATTCGTGCTGCAGCTATAATATAGCTGCGGCGTGGCTCCACCAAGTATTTGATTCGATGTTGTCGTAACCAAAATCATAAACGTGATATAATTTTAGAATGTCTACTTTCCGAGAAAAATTTTTCCCTATAAAATAAAATAACTTACTTAAATAAGTATTGAGTAATTTCAATGTCGGCGTATTGGTCACTTTTATCTTGGGCTTGAAAAGTTAAACCTATCGCTAAGCCATCGTAGCCATTATTATTCTCAAGTATTGATGGCTTGTTCATCCAGTAACTTAACCTTATAGACCGGTACGGAAATCGATACTCTGTGTATAGTCTGCAATCAAAAAGAACAGCATACTTATTATATTATGGTTTTTAAATAAATCTAAAATACCTTAAATCTATTCTTGACACTCAAATACTTGTACTTGGTGTGTCGTATTTAGTAACCTGAGGATGCCTCGTGTAGAGGCGAAACACGTGTCATATTTTCGAGAGTGGTGGTGTGGTGTGTCGTGCCTAGTGTGGTGGTGCTGGGGATGGTAATGCTGGGATTGACGGCGACGGGTATAGTGCGTGCGATTGAGGGAGGGTGGGAGATCCCCTTAAAATTGGGCAGGACACATCATTTTCTTTCTTTACGCGGAATTAAGCAAATTAATTTATAACAACGCCATTATAATGAATTTCCTCAAGGTAACGCCTGATTCTATTAATTATGATGTAAATGACGCTGTATCTTAAGTATTACATTTCGTCACAAAAGTATCGGGAATGGATGATTTGATTATGGTTCCAAATTTTTTTTGTTGTTGTTAGATTAGCACAACTGTTTTTCATATTGGTACAGTATTGATTTTCATTTGTTATTTAGATTAAATACAGTGCTGTTTTTAGTTATATCACATCTAGTGTGTATTGCGAATTTCATAATGGACAAAAACGTCGAACAAAGAGTTTGTCTTAAATTTTGCATCGCCAATATAATTTCGTGTTGGGAGTCACTGAAAATATTATAAATGGCTTACGGTGAATCGACTTCATCAAAAACACGTGCTTTTGAATGGTATAAAACGTTCCAAAGTGATCGAGATATGATGGAAGATTCGCCTTGTTCTGGTAGGTAACCAACGTCTGCAACTCAAGTTAACATCGTGTAAGTGAAGGAAATAGTGACTGAAAATCCTCTTTCAAGTTTGAGAGAAATAGCCGCCGAAATTTCTGTGACTCACGAGTCGATCCGTACCATTTTAAATAATCACTTGGATATGAAACATGTTGCCGCTCAGCTAGTCCTAAAAGACCTGAATTTTCTCCAAAAATTCAATCGCATAGCATTTACTGAGGACATGCTAGAAGAGTCAATTCCAACGCAACATTCATGAAACGCATTTTTACTGGTGACGAGAGGTGGGTTTACGAGTTTGACATGCAAAGTAGTCAACAAGTTTCGGAGTGGCGCCCTCTAACCGAACCTAAACTGAAAAAACCACGCCAAAGTCGATCAAAAGTGACTCATCATGTTGACTGTTTTGTTTGACTATCACGCTGTTGTGCACTCGGAATTCTCGCCGGGAGGTTAAACGGTAAAAAAAATATTATTTGAACGTTATGCGGCGTTCAAGAGAGCAAATTAGACGAAAACGGTCAGATTTGTGGAAAGAAAATTCTTGGATGTTGCACCACGATAATGCGCATTCACAGAAGGCCATCACTGTGAACAAATTTTTGATAAAAAAATCAACAATATCATCGAGCAACCGCCTTATTTACCAGATATGGCTCCAGCTGATTTCTTTCTTTTTCCTAAACTCAAATCTTTACCCCATCGCGGCACCCGTTTTCATTCGGTAGAAGACATAAAGGAGAATTCGCAGCGAGAACTGAACTCAATTCCGGAAAAAGCGTTTAAAAATATTTTGATGATTGAATTATTTTTTGGAGAAAGTGTATCATTTATGAAGGAGCATACTTTGAAGGTGATAAAATAAACTTGGATGAATAACTAATATTTTGTGTATTGTTAATCTTTTCCCGGTACTTTCTTGACAGAGTATTACATTACATCTCTTATAGTTAGCCGACCATACTAAAACTTGTTATACTAGCGGTACACGGCTGCCTTAAAAGGTATTTCATCCTTAAATTAAAAAAAAGTTTGTATACAACATATAACGTCACTAACGCACATCCTCAGACACCCCAATTAGAATATTATGTTATAATCATAATACATGCACTGACTTTTTAGTCAGCACTCGTTGTCTCATTAAAATAAACTAATGATTTAATACGTCCTCACAAAAAACAGTCAAAAGGCGTCAAATCAGCGTAAAATCAAATAAATTTAAAAAAAAATTAAGTATTTTAAAACTGGTTAGTCTTTTTTTTAATCTTCCTTTTCGCGCACTTAATGCATGTGTCTTATCTTTAATATAATGATATAAAAATGTACTCGAAAGTTTATATCAGTTATGAGTAGGTGTTCAAATAAAAAATAAAGTACTGGCTTCTTATAAAAATATATATTAAAAAAAATTAAAATTACCTTAATTGTCCACGTATCAACGTATGGAAATATCTAAAGGCAGCTGTCGCGAACTCTTTGAGCACTGTTGCTTTTACATTTGGATTGTAATCATTAACATAACCCTTTGCGTTTGGATATATAAGTTTATTCTTTACCATATTTTCCACACCTTAAAAATACATATTAAAATTAAAAGTATTATTTTTGTTATTTATGTATAATATTAGGAATGGTTGTACTTTTCATGAATACATATTTACTAACCTAGCAATATTGGCAGGAACTCATAGTAATGAATATATAGATTAATTGCTATATGAATTCGCCGTGCTGTTTGGTAAATCTTTTCGTCGTCCCAATGTTTGTTTATGTAAGACAATGCATCAGCAATACGATTATGTTCTTTAAGTAAAATCACTTGTAGAACAGTTAGTTGAGGATTTTGATTTACTCTTGGATCACCTGTTTACAAATATTTCAGTTTAGTAAACTGCAGATTTTTTTCAAGAAATAAAGAGTTTATTATCTTTATATATAAAAATTACGTGTCACATTGTTTGTCCGCGATAAACTCCTAAACCACTGAAATGATTTCAATGAAATTTGTGCATACTGTGTGCAGTTTGGTCCAACTTGAAAGATAGGATAGTTTTTATCCCGATAAGTAACGCTAAGTATTATATATTTTTATTGCGAATTTAAGTATTTTTATAGTTAAGAGGTTAGCCGCTAAGGGCAGTACAACGTCTGCCTGACCAGCTAGTAGATAATATAAAATGAAGATCTAAAAAGCATGTAAAATTGTTGCACAACGTAACGTTCAATCATTTTAGCAGTTGTTAGATGTTATATGTATATAAAAATTAAGATCTAAAAAGCATGTAAATTGCTGTTCTACGTAATCTTCGCTTCATTTTAGCAATTGTTATAGCTATAAACTGAGATACCAGCTACGTAGCATGGTTCATCAGCGGTGGTTGCTCCGGAACAGATCTGCAGTACATTAGCCGCCTGAGGTGGCCACGTTCCGCCATTACGTTTAATTACTTTTAAGCGGCCCCCTCGACCTTCACGCAATGAGTCAGCTTGTTTCTTACTATTACCATATGTCAAAGAGAGATCCAGGTAGGACGTGACTTCATTTATCTGAAAGAAAAAAATTGGGTAAAGAAATGATCAGTTAAAAAGATTCAGAATACTTTTTAATTGAAATGTTCACTTTATCTTCTGATTTAGATATAAATAAACACTTTGATAGGTATATTCTGAACAAGACCTATTCATCTGTAAGTAACAACTATCGGCATCTTTTAACCTATAAATGTGAATAAGTAAAGTTTTTTTTTGAAAAATTGTAAATTGATTTTTTTTCTATTTACCACTTTTATGGTTAAAAATTATAAATATACATGTGAGTGTGAGAACTTATGAGTCCGCGCGCGCGCGCGCGCGCGTGTTTGTGTGTGTGTGTGTGTTTGTGTGTGTGTGTGTTTGTGTGTGTGTGTGTGTGTGTGTTTGTGTGTGTGTGTGTTTGTGTGTGTGTGTGTGTGTGTGTGTGTGTGTGTGTGTGCGTGCGTGCGTGCGAGCGAGCGTGCGTGCGTGCGTTCGTGCGTGCGTGCGTGCGTGCGTGCGTGCGTGCGTCCGTGCGTGCGTGCGTGCGTGCGTGCGTGCGTGCGTGTGTGCGAGCGTGCGTGCGTGCGTGCGTGCGTGCAGCGTGCGTGCGTGCGTGCGTGCGTGCCTGCGTGCGTGCGTGCGTGCGTGCGTACGTGCGTGCGAGCATGCGTACGTGCGTGTGTGTGTGTGTGTGTGTGTGTAAGTTTATTTGATAATATCAAGAAGACATTCAGTTTCCGTGTACGATTGATTTATAATGTATGTTATTTATTGATTGATTTAAAAATTAATTATAAATATAATTAATTTAAAATATATGTTTTATTATAATATATATTATATAAAATATTAATCAATTTATGAACTACCGTGTAGTGAAAAAATACTTGAATGTCTACAAATAAATGGTAGTATGAATAAACTGGTTATGCCAGACCTAAAATAATTAGGCCGTCACATTGAAATTATACCTCAGTATTATAAAACGTTATATCAATAGGAAAAGAAATCATATTTTCTTAACTATCCGGGATAATGTCGCTATTTTGGAACATAGGGTCCTTTACTACTGCTCGTTCTCTGCACTACACGCTGTTCATCTAAATTTAATAAAAGTATGAATTTGAGTACTTCCAACAAAAATATTTTCAAATCACTGTCCTCAAAATTACGCTCATTTTTGTCACGTGCCAATTTAATACATTAAATGTCGACTGTTACCTATATCAATACTTTTTAATTATTTTTTTTGCTTTTGCTACAATTTGTGTGCTCAATGGAAGTAGTTACTAACGTAGATACTTGAATGTTTACCATAGGTACTTAGTTTTTGAGAAAAAATAAACAACTTTGTTCGATTTGAAAATTGAATTTCTCCCAAAATTATAATAATAACGTGTAAAATTACTGCAAGATGGAATTTCGGTAATTGCGAGCTAATTCAAAGGAAATTCAAGAGATACTACATATAATTTTAATTTTACTATAGATAATTTAAATAGACAAAATGAAACGCTAATTCATCTGTGAAAAATAGGACGCATAATCACATAAATACTTGGGCCACGCAGAAAGTCGAATAAAAATATTTTTATTACTAAATATTTTCAAAGAACTCTTCACCAGAACATGCATAAAGTTTCATCATCTCAACTAATATTTGTAATGGTGGCCACACACGGTCAGTTAAACTGATCTGTTTAACTGACGTACGTCCACAAACAGACCGTGAATGTGAAATATTAAGTTGAAATTTTTAATTGACGGCAAAACACGGATTTTATTCGGGCGTGCTGTCAGTTAAACTGCTCCATTGAACTGACGTACATCCAAAAACTGATCGTGAATGTGAAATCTTAAGTTAAAATTTTTAACTGACGGCAACCCACGTATTTTTCCGGGCGCACCGTAATCCGCTGGCTTCAGTTCGTTTCCATTATTGGTAAGTACATACTTTCTTATTAGCTTTTATATATATTTTATATTTTTTATAACATTATTTGTATGCTGTTTAGATTTTATATTATTTTATATATTTTTTTTATTAAAAAAAACCTTACCCCCACACTAGGATTTTCTCCTGTATCGTGGAGGCAGTTTACAAACACAAATTGCACAAGGACAAATATCCAGACCCGGAACAATTATTTGTAAGCCATACAAATACTTGTTCCGTGCGGGATTCGAACACGCGCCCACCAGCGCAGCAATTCATTGCTAATCCACTGCGCCACGAAGCGGTCATAGAAGTTGATTTGCCAGAGGATGGAGACCAAGGTGATTGTAATGATGGACTCACTCACCTTCCTTATGGTGGACTCAGAAGGGGGGTAAAGGATCTCAGTGATGCTGCTACGTAGAACCATCGTGTTTGGACTCATTTTGAAATAGGTAAATGGAAACCTATATGACTGTAATGATGTCACCTTTATGTTGATGCAATCCGAAGGTGGGTATAGGATCTCAGTGACGTCACTAAATAGAAAGACCGCGTTTGAACTCCTTTTAATGGGCTCATAAAGACCTAGGTGACTGTTATGACCTCACCTTTCTGATGGTGCATTCTGAAGGTGGGTATAGGATCTCAGTGGCGGCACTAGGTAGAACGATCGTGTTTGAACTCATTTGAAAAGGTTTATAAAGACCTAGTTCAATGTGATTTTACCTTCATGATGGTGGATAAAGAAGGTGGAGTAAAAAATCTCAGCTATGCCACTACGAAACACCATTGTGTTTGGGCTCATTTAAAAGGGCTCAAGAAGTAACTACACAAATAATATTAATATAATAAATAGTACAAACAATATTATTACTCACTTTATAATGTTTTCAGGCAATTAAAAGAGCAGCAAAAGTCCCAAGTAGGTACAAAATTAGAAGTCGACCATATATTTTACAGGCAATAAATAACAACGGAAAAAGTCATTAGCAACTACAACCAGAAGACGAAAATATCTGCGTACTTCAAGAAAACCTACAAGCACCATTAACATCCTATAAATAACCAAGTTACCTGTACGCAGTATTTAGAATTCAATGATTTTTGACTGGTTTATTATACGAATACTACACATTTAATAAAACAAACTTTACGGTTTTTATTTTGTTTAACTTATTTTAATTCGTGACGTTTGGGTAAAAAATTAAAGTAAAGTTGCAGTCTATTTACGTCCCACTGCTGGGCACAGGCCTCCTCTCATTTCTGAGAGGGTTTTAGGGCAAGGAAATGTCCGCCGCGCTGCCCCAATGCGTGTTGGTCACATGTCTTCGAATTATTATTTTTTTATTTCTCAGAAATGCAGGTTTCCTCACAATGATTTCCTTCACCGCCGAGCATGTGGTAAAACAGCACTTAAAATTGCAATTCACAATTTCATTGGTGCCGGCGGGGATCGAATCCGGGTTGCTCGAGTACTGTGAAGCTTACAGCGAGCGCATACCATCTAAGCTACCACGTTTGGGTGCTTCGACTTTATTTTAGTATATCACACGTAGAGAGTTCAATTTGATAAACATAGAAAGCTAGGCCAACCTAATTATTTCCGTTACTGAAAACCGATAAGCATTATCTGGTCATCATAAGAGCTTCAAAATATGCCCATGCTCACGGATTTTTTTGGGGTCACCGTAACCGGACTGCAAGTTAGTATCACTGGGGTGTCGCCCGCTCTACAGATAGGTAATTTAATAACAGATATTAATAAATAACATATTTATTAAATAAATAAAATTTACCATAATGAATAAAATTATCATAATATCTGACCCATTTCTGAAAAGTGTCTTAATACTGAACTTATCACGAATAAAAATATCTTTTGAAGTGTTACTATATACGAAACGTTATTTATATAATATATACATATATACGGAACGGATTTCATTTCTCGATCGATGGAGCCGTGCGCGTTTAGTTGGCGGACTCCTATAAACTAAAAATATAATTTCCTATCTATTAACTAGTTGTTCGCTGCCACTACGCCCGCGTTTAATTTATTACGATTGAATTTTATGGGTTTTAATTTTTTTGCACGGAACCTTAATTATTTTCTGCAGACTTCCAAAAAGGAGACGGTACTCAATTCGACTGTATGTTTTTTTATGTGTGTTACCTCATAACTTTGTACTGGGTGAACCGATTTCGATGATTTTTTTTTTTATATGAAAACTGATACTTCTCGTGTGGTTCCATATGAATTTGATCAAGGTCAGACCAATAGTTTTTGAGTTATTCTTAATAATTTATATTGAACCCGGCAGCACAAAATTTTTAATTTTTAATTATTCTACATTAAAAGGAGCCTAAGTTCCCCCACATACCTAATATCAGTTATCTGCCACTGAAAGTCTCGTCAAAATCAGTTCAGCTGATTCGGAGATTAGCCGGAACAAACAGACAGACAGAACGATAGACAAAGATTTTAAAAATTGTGTTTTTGTTATAAGTACCGTATATACTTTCATATGAATTTAGTAAAAACTGTTATTTGGACATTACAAATAGACACTTCACTTCAAACAAAAATTTATATGTATAGATATATATTAATAGACAGGAAATATTTTAAATAAGATTTAGATATTACTAAATATCATTTAATTTATCTATATATATGATATTTTATAGGAGTCACGCAAACCAAACGCCCATGGCCACGCCCCACGTTTGAACTAGGACTGTTGATCAAATATCGATATATCTAAAAATCTATTTTATTATTTAGAAATATCGATATTTATTTTTAATATTTTTGGACGACATATATTGAAATATAAGTTTTATATTGAAATATAGATATACGACACTCTATATATTATTTAAAATAATTAATTTTTTATTTTTTCACGTAAATCATTTAATCTACAACACCATCGTAAACTTAAATCTAATCCTTGATGGACCCAATCTACTATACTTTATTTATACTATATTATGTTTTTCATTTTACCCCAGCTTATTTATTTGCTTATTATCTTAAAAAGAAATATAATTTTGTAAAGTATATCTCTGTGATATTAAAATCTCTATGAAACTTTTTTTTACGTGGTAGAGCCATGGTGCAGCTATATTAGTAGTATAGTTGAAGCACGAATGGGTCGGCTACACTGGGGAAGGACCACGCTCTTACAGAATACCAGCGTGAAATAGCAGCTTAACACTACTGTGTTTCGTATGGTGGGTGTAGAGAACCGGAGACCCTTTTTACTGGAAAAGAGGCATTCCATCTTAGTCCTCACGGGTGACAACGCAGCTTCATTTTGATTCGCAAACGAGGGTAAATGTAGATATCTATGGGCCACAGCAACCACTTACCATCAGGTGGACTGTGTGCTCGTTTGTCACCCTATACTATAAAAAAAAACTTAGTACTACTTTACTTACTGTGAGTATTGGCAGGAGCTTGACCATCGACGGATGGTTGCTCCTGTTTTATCGTTTAAATAATCGTTTGAATTGGATTTTTATCAAAGTGATGCGATTATGTATATTAAGTGTCTGCGCATGTGAGCTATTAGAGAAAACGACGAAATAAGTGCTTCGATGTTGGTATAAGCCTCAAGTTATTTTAATCGTTTAGGCGTCTTATGATTTACTTCCGTGTTATCAGAAATAGCTGTTAAATATTTGATTTCTTCAGCTGCATCCGTAGCATCTGAACGAATTACTTCTACAATCAATCTTTTAGTGCCCAATAATTGGAGTATAGAAACAGCTGAACATATAAAACAACGAGTATCTTTGAAAACTCTTACTGAAAAATATTGGTAAACATAATTGTCTTATTTAAATTAAACAATAATTAAAGTTAAAATTACAGCTTATATACCTCCCAATGCTAGTTACTCCTCAGCTGGGCAGGCATCTCCTAATTTTTGAGAGGGTTTTAGGGCAATGTCCGCCGCGCTGCCCCAATGCATGTTGGCGAACTTTAGGTTTTTTTGAAATTTTTATTTTATTTTTCAGACATGCAGGTTTCCTCACGATGTTTTCCTTCATCGCCGAGCACGTGGTAAACTAACTAAGACTAAGAAATCAACACTTAAAATTTCCATTCACAATTTCATTGGTGCCGGCGGGGATCGAACCCGGGTTGCTCGCGTACTGTGAAATTTACAGCGAGCGCTAACCATCTGAGCAACCACGGCTCATTAATAATTACTAAAAACTATAAGCTGATATTTTCATACATTTATAATTTAATTTTTTTAATAAATATACTAAATTATAAACTGTGTAAATAATTTTTAAGCAATAAGCATCGATATATCGCTTATGTTTTCGATATATAAAATTCCCATATTGATATATTTATAATTATCGATATATTGAAAATCCGATATTTTAAAAATATCAACAGCCCTAGTTTGAACTGATCAGTTGGAATGATCAGTTGAACTGACCGTGTGTGTCGAAATTGTTTTGGATTCAATCCGTTTGAAATGATCTGTTGAATTGATGTCAGTTTAACTGACCGTGAGTGGGAACCATAACACTTTTCATGCGTTTGCCGCCATAATCAGATATTGCAAACCTTTTGGCCACAAAAATAAGGGTTGTTGTAGCACGTGTTCTTTCACATTGTTTGTCTTTTCTAAACTTGAGTTTTTAAAAAATTCTGTCTTAGGATTAACATTCATGGTGATTACTCAGTTCTCGTTAAATAGTTGAGTTAAAGTTTATTGTGTAAAATATACTAGTAAATAGAATAGTAAAATAGACGAAGAAGAGTCAAAATTATGTACATTGGATAACAAATAGATAAAACATCAATTTATTCATCATAAGTGTATACGATAAGAAAGACATATGGCAGTTTCTAATTTAATGAAACCAAAAATTAATATTTTAAAGAGCTGATTTGTTTTATTTTCTTCTTACTGCTGAGCAGACACACGTTTTATTAACCAGACTTGACGATTTGTAAGTAAGCTAATCAAAGGAATTTATCTAAGTCACACTATGCCGGATTCGAAAGCCGTCACTCTATATTTTACAGATTCGCAATTTATATTTAAATGTTTTTAACCACTAGTAGAAAGCACAAAGGTCATTGCACGAAATTTTTCGTGCTCGGCTACCGGTTTATAGCTGAAAATTTTTATACCAGTACACTAAAGGCTCATACGCACTACGTGGGTAGCCGTAATGCGGCTAGCCGTCCGACTGACCGCAGGGTGCGGTTGCGAATGCAGTCAACATTTTTCGCATTTGCAACCGCAACCTGCGGTTGAAGAACCGTTTCGATTTGCGGTTATGAGCTAACCGCATACTGCGTATGAGCCGTATCCATAAATGCGATTTTAAGTCTATCAAACGATTTGTCAGGTTTACAACGACATTTGAAATATTAAAAATTCATTGCAAGGAAATGTTCCCGACACAGATACATTTTTCAATTAAACATGTTAAAAAAGTGATATGAAATTTGAAACTGAAAACACTTAATAATTATATAATATAATAAATACCGGGAAAGAGGGCGACTTTGAGGAAGTGCAGTTAATATCCTTTGTTGAAATTGTTCTCACAAATTCCATACATTCCCTTCCATATGCTTTGTTGATAACATCAATCTCAGGAATGATTATAGGCGCGCAGAAAGGGTTATTATAAGATTCGGATGTCAGTTGGCCTTCGTTATCGCAGCATATCACAGGATTATTATCTAAAACATATTTTGTTCATATTATTTAAAACTTTTATGAGTTGTCGAATTAAACAATTTCAACAAGTATAATTAAAATATAACATGAAAATGTGAATTGAATTAATAATTTGAAACAAATTTTTGAGCAAGTGTTTTTTTCAGAACACCTATCTCTATGCAATTAATAGCTTTTACGAAACATGTATTGTCTATTTTAATGTCCACGATTGAATGCTTTGTCTGTTTTACATTTTCCGCTATAAAAATAGTTTGGGCAATTTTGTATTTTTTGGACGATTATAAAATGTTACTCACCCTGAAAGCCTTTTACGTGACTCAACCAAAATTTAACTAGAGCATCGCTAAAATGCTAATTAAGAATAATAAATGCTACATGACTATAATAGTGTTTAGTTTCTAAAATAGTACCACTTGTTATTCGATAAGAATATATCACTAAATTTAGACAATAAATAAAATAAAACTTACAGCTAAGTGTGGATCTACCACTGAAAGACATGTCGTGGGCAATTATTTGACCCCACTGCATTGTATTGAGGTTCCATTTATAATCAATAATATTTTTGTCTGGAAAAACTAGTAGACTAATCGCACGGGGATTCGGTAATTGTTCATCCTCTAATGTTTCAGGAAATTTGTCCACACCTGCAATTTTCAAAATTTATTTCCCGAATATGTTAGTTATAGTAGTAATATTAGCAAGAGTTAGTAATATATTATACTAGTGATTACCCCAGCTTTGCCTGGGTATTGTCTGTCAGTTCGGCTTTATTTAGGTTAATGATAATCAAAACTAATTTTTTACCAGTATTTGTTTTTTTAAAAAAACCTCTAAGTTTTCCGGATAAAATATAGCTTCGATCAGCCCTGGAGTTGCTCTCTATCTGTTCGTGAAGTTTCATCAGAATCGGTTCAGCTGTTATGAAGATTAGCCTGGACAGACTGACAGACAGACCGACAGACAGAAAGACAGAGATTTTAAAAATGGTTGTTTATGTCTTTAAAGCGCGCAAATAACCCCATGAGCTTAATAGAAGGTAGTTATTGCAATATTAAAGACAGACACTTAAATTTTATTCATATCTATAGATTTAAATAAACAAAGTTATAAACAAAAAAAGTAAGAAAATAATAGTCGTAATTAGTAAATAGTATTAATTTTTTTAACTTACCATCTGCATAGCTATTATTTACTAATTCCGCAAAGGGTTCTTTCGCTGCACCCCAAGAAGGATTTTCTAAATTATTGCAGGTACCATCAAAAGACCTATATGGGTCTTTTTTACAAGTGGTTGGAGTAGATCTACATGACAGTTTCTTTGTTTTTGAATCGTTTTTGGTTTCTAGTTCATATGGCGTTATTGTGGGGATTGTAGGACTGCAACATCGAGAGGTTTAGCTTACTAAATATTTACTATATAATAAATTACATTTTTGGATAAATTACCTGTTTTTGAATTCAATACATTTAAAGTAATCTATTAATGGTTCGAAATTGGTTTGTGAAGAATCTAAAACAGATGACGTCTCCGAATGTACATCATGGGCTAATATGCTTAAAGTGCAACAAAACGTCCACCAGAACATTGCACCTGTAAAATGAAACGATAATATAGAAATAAAGATTAAATTACGAAATATCTCATATGAAAAACTTAATAAATTTTATTATATTTATAACAATGTATTAAATAAAAATAGAACTAATGTTATTTTGGTACATTTAAAATTGAAAAATACATAAGAAAACAACTAATTCCTAACGTGTCATGTACCGGACGTGTTAGTTTAATTTGATACCGAAAATTTCAATGCAACTTTTATATCATGCATACGTATTGCATGATATAAAGAAGTGCTGATAAGTAGTCAAGTGTAAATCGACATTGAAGAATGTAGTTCCGTATGTATGCATACATGTAGTCTTACCGATAGTATTTATAACATGTAATGCAATAGTTCGGTTTTGAATATTACATCTTATCGCAGCTTCAAGCCAAACTTTATGGTTAGGTTAGGTTATTTTTCACAAAAAAAAGGTTATTTATCACAAGGTACGTAGCGGCGGTGTAAGAATATCCACTAACCCATATCGTTCCATAGGTGTCGTAAGATGCGATAGTGGGAATCAAACCAGGAAATGGACAGCAACGTCTTCACAATAACAACTAAAAATAAAAAACTGCGGTTTTCAACTCGCCTTACAAGGGTGGCATATTTTCCCCCTGTGAAGTAATCTGTTTGGGAGGCTTATGTCCAGTAGCGGTACTTTTGATAGGCTGTAAACTGTAGCAGTACTGGAGCAAAGTATATAAAAATGATTATTGTTGTTTTGTCTTTAGACATTATTTAATAAGTAAAAGTCAATTATCTGTCATTTATTAATTTTTATGTTATAAATATTTGGCATATACATTTACATTAAATTATTCAACGGATGGATATACTTTAGTGGACCAGGTATAGCTAAATAAGTTTTACTATCATTACAAAAACAAAGCGCCCACTGTTTAAAACATCGCGAGGAAGAAAACCGGCACTGATTTATTTATTTACGCTTCACAACAGTTCTTAATTTTTTTTATAGAATAAGGGTGACAAACGAGCACACAGTTCACCTGATGATAAGTATTTCTGTGGCTCATGGACATCTACATCTACCTTCGTTTGCGAATTAAAATGCAGATGCGTTGTCAGCCGTGAGGACTAAGATGGAATGCCTCTTCTCCAGTAAAACGGGTCTCCAGTTCTCTACACTCACCATACGGAACACAACAGCGTTAAGCTGCTATTTTACGCTGGTATTCTGTGAGAGCATGGTGAGTGAATGATATAAATGATAACTCATGGCAACTGTTAAAGCGGTCTACGTATTATGGCTACAGCACGAATGAGTCGGATCGACTCGGTAAGGATCACGCACGCGCAGAATATCAGCGTGAAATAGAAGCGTAATGCTGCTGTGCTTCTTACAAATGAAAGCAAAAACCCAGAGACCTTTTTTACCAGCTACTAATAACAAAACTTTTTATCTCATCTGTTTAGGGGTGACAACACATCTGACTTTAGATTTGAAGTCAGGAAAGCCTAATTATCGAAAAGCGATCAAAATGTCAAGAGTTCGTATTCGCCATTCGACTACTTTTGTGAATTGCTCCTAACACAAGCATTTTAAGCTTACCCGGTGTTTTTAACATTAATATTAGTTATTTTATTAGCAGCGTTACATTATATTATGTTTTTTCAATGCATTTTGTATCCATCAACTTGCGAATTGTCCTAGATCAGGGCAAGGGGAATAAGGGTAACCAATAAACCCACAGTCAATCTGATGCTTAATTAATACTGTGGGAATTAGGCACCTACACCTACATCTATCATTTTCCTATTTATTTTATTTTTATTATTAGTTTTTTATTTGAAAAGAGCTAGAGAACCTTAAAAAGTCACAAATTAAATATACCCTTATTAAATATTTTTCATATACAGGCGAATGTGCTGAAGAATAACGTATACTAAAAATAAATTATTTTTATCTTACGTTTCTGCGCAAAATTATTTTTAATCTGAGTCACGATTGTACACATAACACAATAATTGCTGCGATGTCAAATAAAGGAAGTTGCTCCATTATCTTATCCATTCTTTATTGGTCTGACTCTCCGGTACGGATATAAAAGTTCACTAATATATTTCTGAACAAATTCACTGACAATTTTACTTGTATTTAAATGTATGATTAAGCATTTATTACGCAATGAATGATTTAAAAGATATCATGAGGCCAGTGATCTGTACAAGAACATCATATGAGGACTGATGTTCGTATTTAGAAGAGCGATTATTATTAATATCTTTCTTATTTGTTTTTAACATAAGTACACAATATTGTTACTACTATTTGGCCAAATCTAAAATTTAAAGTCGATAGATGTTGGCTCAGTGTAATGTTTTGAGGCATTCCTTAGGCGGAAGCCTTTGTTCAGTAGTTAACTTGTGAAGGGCTGTAATGATGATGATAATTCAAGAATATTTTTATAGGTATTACGCGCAATAATCATCTTGTGACCTGGTTCGGAAAACGTCAAAGTGTATTGAAAGTCGATATTTAAGGCGTTGAGGGCGAGAGCAGCAGGTGGGGCAGGAGAACAGGAAATAGATTTTAGCGCGTTAAACTATTTTTTTCTTCAAGCCAAATTTCGACCTTGTTGTTTTTTAATAGGATAGAGTGACAAATGAGCACACAGTCCACCTGATGGCAAGTGGTTGTTGTAACCCATAGACATCTACATCTATCCATAATAAAGAATCAAAATGTAGATACGTTGTCACCCGTGAGGACTAAGATGGACTGCCTCTTTTCCAGTAAAAAGGGTATCCGGTTCTCTACACTCACCATACGAAACAGCAGTGTTAAGCTACAATTTTACGCTGGTATTCTGTGAGAGCGTGGTCTGTCCCCGGTTGAGTCGTCCCATTCGTTGTGCAACTATATTACTAATATGGAGAGCCACCTCGTATATTTTCCTTAAATACAACTATTTTCACAAAGATCAAAGAAATGATGAAACTTGAACTGTTCATTATTTAATAAAGTAACCCTAAAATATGTATTGTAAGAGCACATGGGATAAAGTGTTTTAAATTTAAACCTTAATACGAAGTAGTTTTATCCGCACTGAGTTTATGCAAATAAACGACATATGTTTCTACAATTCGTTTTATTAAAGTGCTCTAGATATAGTTACAACCTCTAGGTATAGGTCTCACTGCTAGGCACTGACCTCCTCTCATTTATTATATTATTGTATTTTGGAAAAATTTGCATCCCATCGTTTCCTCACGATGAATTCCTTATGAGACGAGAACGTGGTAAATAAGCGGATGAAATTCCAATTGACAATTTTATTTAGGCCGATTGGGATGAAGCGTTATTATTGCGTTCTATGAAATGGAAAAAAAGAAGGAACATTTGTAAGCATGTTTTTAGTTTGTTATTTGTCTTTATTTTTTCTTTGGTTTGTTATTTTTTTAATTTGTTGAAACACTTCCTCCTATTTAATATTATATTTGCATATAATATTATATTTGCATTATAGTATTAAATAGGAGGAAAGTATGAACATGCCTGACGGCCACACATTCCTGGTTTGGTGGATATAGTTCAGAGTGAAGAATGCAATCCTTTAGCTGTAACTGTAGTGTCACTTGCACTTGCACAGCTGTGACTTTCGAGCATGTATAAAGTCGAGGTATCAAATATTTACCGATAACATTTTTATAATAAATATATTAGCTAAAATTGATGTGGTTTGTGCAAAAAATTCTACAAAAATGTTTTTATTTATTTTTTATTTATTTATTTGGTTCACCAACAAATATCTTTCGTCACTTACTTCCTTTTAGTCGGGAGTTTTTTATTTAATCCTTTTTTGATTACAACTTTTACATCCGGAGTGGGGTTTTTTCAAAATTTTTAATTTTGCTTTTCTTAAATTGAATGAAAGGTAGGTCTCGAATTACTTGTGGTATCTCATTATATATTGTCATACACATCCAGCAGCAATTTTTATGTAATCTTAGGAATTTTAGCGGAAACCAACCTATTCCTATTTCTGGTGCTTCGTCTGTAGACGTCTTTGGCTTGTGTAAAACAATTTATATATTTCTTTACGAATTTTGCCGCTTCAAAAATATATAGACAAGGAAGTGTCAAAATGTTCAAAGATTTAAACAAAGGTTGACATGGTTCATCAGGTGCAGTAGCACATATTGCTTTAACACACTTGTTTTGTGCAATGAACGCCTTTTTATGTCCGTGCTGTTACCCCATATGATCAGTCCGTACCGCAGAACTGATTCAACGTAAGCAAAGTATGCAATAATAGCTCTACTCCTTCCTGCTATTTTTGTCAATTTATAAATTGCAAATGAGAAACAATTCATTTTGTTGCATACCTTTTTAACTTGTTGTTTCCAATCTAATTTTTGATCAATTTCTATACCCAAAAATTTCGTTGTTGTTGTATTTTTAAGTATTTGTCCTTCATAATTTATATTTAATGTCAGATTTTGTATATTATTAAAGTTAATTAAATTCGTTTTGTCAATATTGATAAATAAATTATTATTTGTAAGCCAATTAATTATTTGAAATATAGTTTCATTAATGTCATTCTTGTGGTCATTTAATGTCAATTTAGAGCGAATAGGATACATCGATGCTTGGTTACATTTGGGAGATTATTAATATAAACCAGGAATAGAAGAGGTCCCAGTACACTTCCTTGAGGAACTCCAAACTAATTTTCCCTAAATTCAGACCTGTAGTTTTTCACTACATGGTTAGAGTCAAGCTTTGCTATTTCAAATGATTGCATTCTATTTTGCAAATATGTCTCTATCCAGTTCAAAGCAGTGCCTCTAATGCCACAGTGCTCTAAGTTTACTAGAATTGATCATGTGAAGCAAAATCGAAGGCTTTCGACATATCAAAAAAGAGCGCCGTTGTATATTGTTTATTATTTAGTTGTGTAAGGGTCTCATTCGCTAAGTCATATACCGCATGTGTAGTGGATTTGCTTTTTCTAAATCCATATTGATTGTGTTTTAGTATATAATATTTTTCGAAAAACGATGTAAATTTTTCATACATAACCTTCCATACACTTTGGATAAGATAGAACCAGCGTGATGGGCCGGTAGTTACTTAGTAGTGTCTTTTTATCCTTTTTAAATAGTGGCTTCACCAATGAGAATTTTAATCTGTCTGGAGAATCCCACAGACCATTGACTGATTTATCAGAAACGCCAAAATAACGCCTAATTATTAACTAACGCCCATTAATAAATTCTAGTTGGCTTGACTTACAGGCACTGCTCAGAGATGTTGCGTCTGCATATCTTGCGTCTTTTACTGCATCTACACCTTTTTTTTTTTTTTTTTTTGCGGATGGAAAATCATCAAATGACGCCTTTCGCTCTGGGTGGAGCGGAAGGGAGTGTCAGACTTTTACTGACTAAAAACCATCCGTGTTCCTTCAGTGCCCTTACGTTCCGGAGCCGCGGTATCTCTTTCGAACAGCCCGCAGCCCCGGCAGGCGTCGGCCCTTGCGGGCCCCTTCACGCTGCTGACAGCTCTTTGAGGCGCGCGTGGAACAAAACGCGCCGTCGACACGGCCTGTCGTCGTTAGACGGACGGACGGCGAGCTACCCATTGCTCGCCGTCCACAGGCCCGCGCCTACGGTGGCCGGGGGCCACGACGTAGCCCCCGACGCCCGGGGCGTCTCCCGCGGCGGCCGGGAAGGAAAGCTGCTGCTCTCTCCTTCTCCCGCTCCGCCACCTCCTTCGCTAGCATCACTGCTTCGCAGAAGGTGGTGACGGCATCCCATTCCGTCTCGCTCCGGACCATGGCTTCGACCAGGGCCGGACGCGAGAGGTCGCCGCCGCCTATCGACGCTACGAGGACACGGCGGTGCTCCGCCCAGGCAGGGCACACCTCCACGGTGTGCTCCACCGTGTCCTCCGGTCGATCCTCGCAGTGGGAGCACCCGGGCGTTTCCTCCCGCCCGATTCGGTGCAGGAACCTCCCGAACACACCGTGTCCGGTGAGGACCTGCGTCAGGCGGAAGGTGAGGACGCCGTGGCGTCTCTCAAGCCACTCCTCAAAGAGGGGTCTTATCGCCGCTATAGTGGCGTGCCCAGCACGGGGTTGCGACAGTCGCTCTCTCCATGTCGCCATGAGATCATGCCGGAAGTCTGTCCGCTGCACGACAACTTGCCATGGCAGCGGGGTTTCCCCCCGGCATAGTGCCTCCGCGCGCCATTCGTGTAGGCGCGCGAGGACTATCGCCTCCAGATCCCATGGTGGCAATCCGGCAAGGAGGCACGCTGCCTCGCGGGAGATCGTGCGGTAGCCGCGAACCATTCTTACGGCGACCACCTTTTGGGGCGCGTTCAGGTGGTGGACGGCAAGCCGCGCCAAACCACGCGCCCACACCGGGGCCCCGTAAAGGGCCATGGACCGCACAATCCCCGCGTAGAGCCTCCGGCAGGAGGCGTTTGGCCCCCCCAGGTTCGGCAGGAGCCGCCTGAAGGCAGCCCCGGTCCGTTCCAGTTTGGGAGCCAAACGTCGGAAGTGCTCAACGAAGTTCCATCGGCCGTCGAGGACGAGTCCTAGGTACTTCAACGTCGACTCGACGCCGATGGATACCCCTCCTACCATCGCTGAGGATCCCGGTGGTGGCCTGTTCCGAGGACCATGGAAGTGCATGGCCTCGGACTTGTGCAGAGCCACCTCAAGACCCAGCTGCCGGATCCTCTCAACGACTATCGCAACCCCGCGTGTCATATTTTCCGCCGCCGCCTCGTACGACCCCCCCTGTGCCAGTAACAGCGTGTCGTCAGCGTAGCAAACTACGCTGACGCCGGTAGGGAGGTCGGCGCGCAGCACCCAGTCGTAACCGATGTTCCACAGGGGCGGCCCCAGAACCGAACCCTGTGGGACACCGCACGACATCTCTCGCCGGTTCCACTCACCGTTGCGACCGGGGTAGATGACGGCCCTATCCGTCAGATAGTCCCCGACTATACGACGGAGATAGGTCGGCACCCGGTGATACCGGAGTGCCTCCCTAATGCAGCTCCAGGGCATGGAGTTGAAGGCGTTGGCGATGTCGAGAGACACCGCCAAAACAACCCCCCCCCTGGCCACTGCATCCCCCGTCGTGAGGGCTCTTACGCGCATGATGGCGTCCACCGTAGAGCGCCTCTTGCGGAAACCAAACTGGTGTTCCGCAAGATCCGGCCCCGTCCCCGCAAGGTGCTCGGCGAGGCGGTTTGCAATGACTCTTTCAAAGAGCTTGCCCACCTCGTCGAGCAGCACCACGGGCCGGTATGCGGACGGAGAGTCCGCAGGGCGCCCCGGCTTCCGAATGAGGACCAGCTTCCCCGTCTTCCAACGAAGCGGGAATTGGCCTCTCTCCAAGCATGCGCTTAGGAGCCCCTCCAGTCGGGGCCCGAGAGCCTCCGAGGCCAGGACCCAGGCTTTGCCAGGCAAGCCATCGGGTCCTGGGGCGGTATTCCTGGCCTTGAGCCTACGTACCGCCACTCTCAGGTCTACCCCGGTCCCTTCCGGGATGTCGTCGTCGTCATCCTGGTGGTCCGCTTCCGGCACCGCAGGTGGCGGAGCCATAGGCGGGGGTGGATGTTCCCCTCGCGCAGGAAACAGAGCGCTCACCACGTCCTCCACGAGCTGAGGCCGGAGACTCTGCGTCAGCGGGGGGGCCCAGGTGCGGAGTTTATCCCGCACCATCTTGTAAGGGCGCCCCCACGGATCTCTGTCGAGAGTCTCCAGCATCTCCTCACGGGCCCGATCCCGGGCCCGCATGACAGCCTCCCGGAGGGCGGTCTTCGCCGCTCTGTATCCCTCGTACAGCTCCGCCTCAATGGCTGCCGCATTCGGTGGACGAATGCGGAGCCTGCGATGCCTGGCGTACAGGTGCCGCGCGGCGACACACGCCTCGCGCAGAGACGTCAGCTCACGCGACCACCAATACACCTGGCGCCGGGCGCTTCCTGGCCGGACGCGGGGCATTGCCACGTCACATATCTCGGACATGGCCTCCTGGAACCACCCTGCCTCATCATTGATGTCGGCAGGCCTATCCGGTGATGACACCCAGGCCTGCACGATCGAGGCTTCCAGGAGGAGCTCCCGGTCCAGCTGCTTCAGCGCCCAACGCGGACCACTCGGGGCCTGTTGGACTGGCGCGCTCGAGGGCTGGGTGGAGACGTCAAACCGGATGTACCGGTGGTCGGAGTAGGTCTCCACCCCCTCCATGACTCGCCAGTCAGTGGCACGCGGCGACAGAGCGGGGCTAGCGAACGAAATGTCCACCACCGACTCGCCCCGCATCCGCATACACGTGGGGACAGAACCCCGATTTAGGACGACCAGGCCTGTCTCCAGAGCCCAGTCTTCCACCATCCTACCCCGCACATCTGTACGACGAGAACCCCAAGTCAAGTTCTTGGCATTGAAGTCCCCGAGGACAAGCACGGGGAGGGGATAGCTTCCGACGACGACTGCTCTCAGCTCTGCAAGAGAGTTGTGGAGCTCGGCGAGAGATCGGTTCGGGGAGAAGTACACCCCCACAACGACGAACTCCCCGAACCGTGCTGCTACGCACCCCTGACCCCTCCTGACACCTTCAAGGGTCGGGGTACCGGCGGCGGCCGAAGAAATGATGGCCACTGAGCCGTTAAGGTCCGCCACCCAGTCCTTCCTAGGCCAGACAGAATACGGCTCAGCGACCACAGCGATGTTAATCGACCACTGCGCCATGCTCTGGAGCAACAGATCCTGAGCGCAGGCGCAGTGGTTGATATTCGCCTGGAGGAAGCTTAATGGGGCCGTTATAGGCATTCCATTTCAGCTTCCTCCACGGGGCGCCCCTCTGCAGGCGTCGGTGTCGCGGCGGCTGCGGCGGCGGCGGCGGCGACAGTGACAGCGGCGGCGGCGGCAGTTGCAGCTGCGGCGGTGACCATAGAGGCGGTGGCGGCGGAGGAGGGCCCTCCCCTACCCGCGGCCTTGGCCTTGGCGGGTGACACGCAGGCCCTGCTCCCGGCCCAGTGATCGGCTGGCTTGCCGGTCGCCGCACATGCATCACAGTGCGGCGTGGCACAGCAGGTCGCCGATATGTGACCGGGCTGACAGCAGCGGAAGCAGAGGCCACTGCGGTCAACCTCCGAGGCGCATTTCGCTGATACGTCATGCCCCACGAGACAGCGGTAGCACCTCAGAGGTCTGGGCTCCAGCAGCTTAACCTGCGCTGAGACCCAGCCCACCAGAAGCCTTCGGCCCTCCACTATGGTTTTGGCCGCCGTAACAGGGCAGCACACCGTGGCGGCATGCATACCCTGTTGATCCGGGCGTATGGCGCCTGCCCTGACCTGGTCAGTAGTGCACCCCCCGGACCTGGCGACGGCGGCCACCAACTCCTCCTCCGATACCGAGTCGTCCAGACCCATGATGCGCAGGTCTGCGCATCTAACGGGCCTGGACACTCGGGCCTCGTCCGCGTTCAGGGACGCTCTGAGCTTCGCAGCCAGAGCGTCCGCAGTCGCGCCACTGGATTCCCCGGGGATCTCTAGCATACGGGCCCCCGTCTGGGTGACTTTGAGCCGGAGGCCCCCAGTGATCCCGAGCTCCCCGAGATCCACCGCCTCTTTCGCCTTCGCGAGCAGATCGCGGTAGGTAACGCCCTTCTTTTCCGCGTCCGGCTGTAGTGTAATCACTACAGCTGCGGTCTTCGGGGCGCGGAGCCTAGCCGCGATCTTGCGCGCCCTGAACTGACGCTGCCGCTCCTGCTCTTTGGCCTTTTTGGCTGCCTTCTTCCCCTTCTGTTTCTCCCCGACCACCTGCCAACCGGCTTCTGCCGCGGGAGGTGTAGGGAGCTGGGGGGGGGCGGTGGCGGCGGCGGCAGCTGGCTTGCCGCTGGCGCTGGCCCATTCGCCGCAGGCACTGGGGCTGGCGCAGCCATCACCTGTGCTGCCGCCTTGCCCTTTTTCACCTTCGCCTTGCCTCTCTTTCCCGTCGCCGGCTTAGCCGGAGCCGGTTCAGCCGGTATTGGTTTTGCCGGAGCCGGCTTTTCAGGGGGAGGAGGGGCAACTGCAGCCCCACCCGAGGGCTGGCTGTACGGCCCCGGCCTGGATGTGGCAGCCGTGGCCGTCGCGTAGGAAACCGTTACCGGCCTCGCCGCCGTCTTGTTTGCCCCTAGGGGGGGCGCAGGACGATGCCCTCCAGCACGGAGAACCGGTGCTGGAAGGCAGCCAGCTCCTGCCGGACCAGGTTCAGAACCTGGTTCTCCACTGGCACGGGCTGGCTTGGGCGCTGCATCTGGGGCGCCGCGCGAGGGGCAGGCTCATGTAGACTGGCCAGGTCTGCGCGGAGCTTCTCATTCTCCTTCTGGAGAGTCTCCATGGCGGACGTCAGGCGGGCCACGTCCGCCCGCAGCTTCTCCACCTCGTCCGCATTAGGCCCAGCCCCAGCAAAGTTGGCCTCCGCAGCCGCCATAATGGAGGCGGAGGCCGCGGGAATGGCCTTGACTTTCGAGGAGGACTTTTGCTTGTTGGCCACGACCTTGATCGCGGCCTCCACCTCCTTTACGAATCTGGCCTTACGCTCCACCTCGGAGCCGCCAGTCGCATCTGTTTCTTCGCCTGATTCCCGAGCCGTATCGTCCGGGTGGCGCCCCTCCTCGGCAAGCTTTGCCGCTCTTTCGGCCCTCTGATTGGTCCCCTTGCCTCTCAGCCCGCCCCGCCTGTTGGTGGGGATTTTCCGGGCCGAAACCTCCTCTTCACCGGATGCCGACCCCTGGTCGCCATCCCGCCTGGACCGCTTGCGGAAGAACTTGCTGGTCTCCGCGGTCCCAGGCTCCACTTGTCGGGAGCTCTCTGAGCCTCCCTCGCTGTTCGATGCGGCGTCGGACTCTGTCCCCGCATCGTTCCTCCTCTCCTCTACGTTGCCGTTGCCGGCGGTTTTTGTTTTTTGTTTGTATAGGTTTTCCATTTTTGTACCCACGAGTATGGGGGAATTAAAGGTCCACCTTGGCAGAGACCCCTTACCAAGGTAAGCAGATTTAGAGGATTTATTACTCGCCAGGGGGTCTGCAGGTACCCTGGCGAGGAGCGCACTAACGACTGATTTGTTCATAGAACCCCGTCAGCCATCCATCCCCTCGCGGTGCGTCGCCGCTTGAGATTCGGGGTAACTTTTTATAGAGGTTTTCTCCCTCGCGGTCCAGGCAGTTAAGCCAAGACCCTCGGTCCCTATCAAAGCCGCGAGACGTGATCCACGACACTTCGATACTGAGATTACGAGACCGGCGGTGACAGCAAAGGATGAATCCTTCACTGTCTGCCCGGAGGCAGGGTAAGTGCACACCGAGCCCGCCCTCACTCCTCTGCTATGCCCTCTGCTAATCAGAGGGTCACGCAGTGGAACGCACCGTTGGTCCGGGACGGACCCCCCCCCATGTCAGAATAATTAGCCGCGGCAGTACCATTCCCCAAGGAGTAAGAATTTCTTCTCATTTCTCGAGGAAGATTACTGCCGCGCCCAGGGTGCAACGGCCCAGTATCTGCTCTTCCCTCCAGACGTATCGAGAGGGACCCGCAATTACCAGGCACACGTGGAGGACTTCTGACTTCGCACCCCACTGCATCTACACCTGCGATTAACTTTTTGTTGCAGTTGCAACAACTTTTGAAAAATTTGCAAACCCAATGGAAGGCCTTCGTTATGTCCAAACTAACAGCAAGGGCCTCCCATTTGGACTCTGCTGCTTCCACCTATCATTGTCATAAGTCAGGTGGACCAGAAGATCACAAGCTGATCGACCCTGACGAAAACCGTAATGGCGGTCACTAATTAGGGATCGGGTGGACAAAAGCTGTCGTCCATGGATACGGGACTACGCCTAGGGAGTAGACGTACCAGAAATGACGCGTTATAACCGGTACCAACTCCGGAGCACTCGTCTTTGCACAATAGGAGGGACTCCATCAGGCCCACTCGACTTGTTGATATCCAGGGAGAGGAGTGGTCCCGATATGAGGTTCGGTCTCATTATATTTCAATAGAGAATCGCAAATGATTACACGATTCATAAGGTTTCTTCCAGTGTGCTCGATGGGTACCCGATTATCAAACTTTTTTGAATAGCATGACTTTTTTAAATAGGTCAAAACTGTCTTGTGGTCAATCCTCAATTCCTCGGCTATGTCGTAATTACTAATATGCCGATGTTACTCCTTGTTTTCAAAATGGCATCGACTTTATCCGTATTAGGGCGACCATAGTGCGCTACATCTTTGACATCAAAATTCAGGAACTAAAAACGCCTGAACCTACTTTGTCCTACTCTTACTGACATTACATAAGGTTCATATACGTCACAAATTTTTTGCGCGGCTTGAGTCGTATTTTTCCCTTTTTTAGGGTTCCGTGTCCAAAGAGTAACCAACATGATCCTATTACTAAGGCTCCGGTGGCCTCCGCTTCGCTGTAAGGCTGTGTGTCAGCGGGCTGTATGTCATGATCCGTAAGGGTAAATAGCTGAAATTTTCACAAAATGTGTATTTCTGTTGCAGCTATAACAACAAATAATAAAAATTAAAATAAAAACTAGG